GACACTCTTGTGGGACACTCTTAAGGGACACTCTTGTGAGACACTCTTGTAGGACACTGTTGCGGGACACTCTTATGGGACACTCTTACGTGATACACTTGTAGGACATTCTTGTGGGACACTCTGGTAGGACACTATTGTGGGACACTCTTACGGGACACTCTTGTAGCACACTCTTGTAGGACACTCTTGTGGGACACACTTGTGAGACACTCTTGTGATGGAACACTCTTGTGGGACACTCATACGGGACACTCTTGTGGGACACTCTTGTAGGACACTCTTGTGGGACACTCTTGCGGGACACTCTTGTAGGAAACTCTTGTGGGACACTCTAAAAGGGCACTCTTGTGGGACACTCTTACGTGACACTCTTGTAGGACTCTCTTGTGGGACACTCTTGTAGGACACTCTTGTGGGACACTCTTACGGGACACTCTTGTAGCAGGCTTTTGTAGGACACTCTTGTGGGACACACTTGTAAGACAGTCTTGTGGGACACTTTTGTAGGACACTCTTGTGGGACACTCTTGTAGGACACTCTTGTGGGAAAATCTTGTGGGACACTCTTGCGGGACACTCTTGTAGGAAACTCTTGTCGGAGACTCTTGTAGGACACTCTTGTGGGACACTCTTGTAGGACACTCTTCTAGGACACTTTTGCGGGACACTCTTGTGGGACACTCTTGTGGGACACTCTTGTAGGACACTCTTGTGGGACACTCTTGTAGGACACTCTTGTGGGACACTGTTGTGGGACACTCTTGTGGGACACCCGTAAGGGACACTCTTGTGGGACACTGTTGAGGGACACTCTTGTGGGACACTCTTGTGGGACACTCTTGTGGGACACTTTTGTAGGACACTCTTGTGGGACACTCTTGTGGGACACTCTTGTGGGACACTCTTGTGGGACACTCTTGTAGGAAACTCTTGTGGGATACTCTTGTAGGACACTCTTGTGGGACACTCTTGTAGGACACTCTTGTGGGACACTCGTGTAGGGCACTCTTGTGGGACACTCTTGTGGGACACTCTTGTAGGA